CTTTTCCATAGCTGAGACAGCCTTCAGAGACTTTGCCTTCTGCCAAGGGGCATTTGCTCCCTGGTTCCTGTTGAGATCTCACTGCTCTTCCTCCCTCCATCTCTTACTTTTGCAGATATCCAGTTCAGCAGCCCAGCCCTTGCAGATCCTTTGGGGGTTCTCTGAGAATCCAGAGAGCCTGGCAGAGGTCAGGCTCTGCTTTCTGGACCAATGAGATCTTATAGATTTCTAGATATAAGTAAACGGTTTGGAAAAGGCTTCCTTTTACCCTGGTGAGAGGAGAAGCTGGTGGAGGACAAGAGTGTATGGTGGAGCAGGCTGGGGACCAGGGTTCACCCCTTGCAGGCAGAACCCACTCTCTAATAGCAACCACAGCTGAATTCCCTCAAAAGGGGCTTTTGGCAGGGGAGTATGTGAGGATGGAGCTCAGCTGCTGCTGGCATTATCCAAGTTCTGTCTGGGATTTTTGAGGAGACTCTTCTTTCTCTAAAGTTTGGTTTTGGATTGTACTTTGCTGTCTGCTTCCAGTATTTTCCCCTGGTATTCCAGTATTTCCATGCTCCTGGGCTCTCGGTAGCACAAGCACTATCTATCTCAGTTCTTTTTGCACTTTTCAACACTTGTTATGGATCTCTGCCAGGAAATCTGATAATTTTTTTTCCCATTTAAGGGAAAGGATTTTGGGCCATAAAAGAAAATCTCCATTGTACCTAAAGTGTTTCCAGTCTGGAAAGAAAATCCCTGGAAACTAAGGGAATCCTTAAAGGGGCATAATAGGAAACACTCTGTAACAGAGACAGCTTATTGTGCACGATTGCCTTTCCCACTCCCGAGGATAAGTACAAGGCCCTTGGGCTACAAGAACAATATGGGTCATTGTTACATCTTAGAGTTCATTTTAAAATGTGAAACTCAGCAATGGGGAACCGGCCAAAACTCAGGGGCCACCAGAGGGGCTGTGCCCCTCTCTGTGGGAGACCCTGTGTCCCTCATGCCACCACTGTGACAGCGCTGAGTGCTGGTTCACAGGCGAGCCAGGAGCCTCCCTTTTCTCACAGCCCTTTGTTTTCCTGTGACCAGTAAAAGGATGTAAAGCAGCCTCCCCTCTTGCTTCGCAGGATGGACAGGAAGATGCCAGACTGCTGTACAGCCATGGGTGTTTGGGAAGATGTGAGACTTTTCCTTATGCAGGCAGAGGAGTCACTGCAGATCAGCAGAGGGATAATTCCACATTCAGGCTCAGCCTATTTCCCTTTAATGTTGTAGCTCAACAAACACTGCCTTGCAGACCTTTTCTGCCTGGCAGTGAAATCCAGATGTCTATTCCACTGACTGCAAGCCCAGGAGAACATTTATTTGCCATACTCTGTGTATTTCCTCCAAAGTACTTGGGGTTTAAGGTGTTTCCTTGTCAATAACTGCTGTAAAACCTGGAGAGAATCAGGGTTTGCCACAAACTGCATCCAATCATTTGGCTGGCTCCATAGACTGGGGAAATAACAAACCATAAATTAAGTTTGCAAAACTCAGAGTACAAAAATATCAATTGAAAGGTGTATCCAATCCAAGAGTGGGTGAAATAACCTTGGAGAAGAACGAGCAGGCTGCACATTTCTGAATCCTCAGGCCTGCACTGCCCCTTGCCGACAAACTCTCTGTGTGGGACATGACATGCTGCAGGGAACAGCCATCCTGGGGGTGGAAACATCCTATCCTCTCCCCAGATTCCTGGATTACCCCAGGCACAGCCAGCTGGAGGGGTTGCCCTGGGCAGGGCTCCCTCTCCCAGCTTCCACCAGTACCATTTTCAGTGCTGGCCCATGTGGAATTGAGAGCTCCCAGCAGTGCAGGAGCCTGTGCTCCCATGCTGCCCCTCCACAGGGTTCTCCAGCCTCTTGGCAGGGCATGTGAATGGCAGTGGCAGGGGAGCAAGAACTGTGCAGGAGGACACAGATGCCCTGCTAATAAACCCGAGTTGCCTCTCTCCCAGTGATTTAACTGTGGTGAATGTGATGCATCTCCCTGCATTGGGCTACTTGTCATTCTCCCTCCCAGCATCCTCCTCCCGTGTTTGTCACAAGGGGAGACAATGTACCCGTAGGCCAGTGCTGACAAACAAACTCTTGTTCTCCAACAGCACCTGCCAGCTGGAAGTTTCAAAGCACTTTGTAATCATTAACAGATTTAGCTTCCTAGCCTTGATCAGGGGCTTAATCTCTGTTGTAAGAGGAGTAAAGTAGGGTCTGGAGGTGAAATTATGAAAAAGCAACAGAACAACTCTGGATACTGTCCTAATGTCTGTCCTGAACTGGAGGTTTTGGTGGGGTAGGAGCAGCTACTTCACTAGAGGAGCACTGGACTGGGATTAAGCTGATCAACAGGTTTTATTCCCAATTCTTCCTTCCACCTCCCCTCTGGGTGATCTTGCTTTTCTCTATTTTAATTTCCTCATCTCCAAAAGGAAGGTAGTGAGCCACTTCCTGTAAGAAATTTCTAAATATATAGATTATATGCAGTTGTGAGAGGTACTGGAGAAAAACGAACACTGTTTGGGATGTCAGAAGGTGACCTCTAAAGAAGATGTGGACAAACACCAAAGATAACATGTAAAGCTGACAAGGTGTACACTGGGCAACAGGAGGCAGGCAGGGACTAGGGAGAGAAGCACAGAAAGTGGGGAAAAGCAGCACTGAAAGTCTTTTTTTCCTAGTTAATCACATAAAGTCAGACACCAGGCTCCTCTTTCAGAAACGTTGTAGCAGGAATTGTCGATAGAGTCCAAGAGCCAGGTCAGCCTATGCAAGAGGAGAAGGGGCTAATCAGCAGAGCCTTGTGCCTCTGGTACCAGCCCGAACAGGTGAACTGCATTAAGTGATGCTAATTGGTACTAATGGAGCTCCGGGCTCCTAGTGAGGGCCATTTTCCTTGGGGGGAGTGAAGGAGGGAAGCAGGCAGGAAGGACGGAGTGGCAGAGGAGCACTTTGTCTGCTGTGTGCTTGCCAGGAAAGTCACCGTTTTCTCAATTTCTGCTGTGTTTTCAGGTTAGTAAATGCTCCTTTATGTTATATTTATGGTCCTAATTGGCAGTAGAGATCCGCTACTGTTCCTCCTGTTTCTGCAAATATCTGCAACCATCCCACGAACAGTCTCGTTCCTTCAACGGGGGGCAGCCAGGGTGGGAGCGAGGGCCCGGTTCGCCCTCACCCGGGCGATGAGCAGCCTCCTTGAGCTCCGCTGCTCCCGGCTCAGCGAGGAACCGTCTGCGAGGCAACGGGGGCCCTGCTGGGCGGACTGGCGCTCTCCGCTCATCGCTTTTCTGTGGCACCAACCCTCGCTCCTGTTTTCACGGGTGAT